AGCGGGAGGCGCGAGCGGCGACAGAGGCAGCGTTGCGAGCAGCGGCAGCGGGAGCAGGAGCGGCGAGCAGCGGGAGGCGCGAGCGGCGACAGAGGCAGCGTTGCGAGCAGTGACAGCAGCGAGCGGCGACAGGAGCGACGAGCAGCGGGAGGCGCGAGCGGCGACAGAGGCAGCGTTTGCGAGCAGCGACAGCGGCGACAACGGCAGCGTTTGCGAGCAGCGACAACGGCAGCGTTTGCGAGCAGCGACAGCGGCGAGCAGCGAGATCGGGATCGGGATTGGGAGTGGCAGCAGCAGCGGGTTAGGGTTGGGTAAGGGTTATATCGGTTTAGTTGGTTCGATTGAACCAACTAACCAACCGAACCAGGACCGAACCAGACCTAAAATCCTGGTTCGGTCGCCTTGGTTTACCCAGGCGCTCGCCCGAAGCGCCTTGGTTCACTGTTCCCAAAATAGCCATACATACTTCTCAAGTAGCACCCATATATAATATCAATTATCACATTCAGGCCAAAAGGAATTTGTCCATTTAGCCAGCTCTCTTCCCAAAATGGCCATACACACTTCTCAAGTAGCACCCATATATAATATCAATTATCACATTCAGGCCGAAAGGAATATGTCCATTTAGCCAGCTCTCTTCCTAAAATAGCCATACATACTTCTCAAGTAGCACCCATTACATGTCTAATAATAATTTTTTCAATTTTTGAAATCATAATTAATTAATTAACAATGAGAAGAGAGACCAGGCTACAAGATCAAAACACATCGATTGATGTCAAAGTTTCCTAAGTTCCTGAGAAAGCTCCATTCCTCTATTAAAGAGATTGTAGGAGGCCAACACAACCAAATAACATCATTTTGACTTCATCACCAGACATAATGATATATCAACAATTCAAAGTCAATTGTCTTAAAATCTCTGTACAGCTAATTTATGGCTTTAAGATCGTGCATGAGGACCCTGAGGCTCCAAATTACAAAAGAGATAAGCTCAGGGGAAAATGCAGTAAAGTTCTGTCAATCCTCTGTATCAAAAACTAACATCTGGAGATGGATCATTAACTTAAGCGGCAGTCACATTATTTGCATGACATCTCATTGTACAGTCTTGCACAACCATTAGGTTTGGGGGGAGAGGGGTGGGGGGGGAGGGGTGAGGAGAGCAGAATATTAAACTAAATTCCACATGCAGCATTAGATTGAAGACGACACCCTAAGAGGAAAAAGTGGGATAACGCATACCTACTTGATCTAAAAGAGAAATTTCTGACTTCAAAGCTACACATAGAGCAGCTTCTGACAATAAATCTCCTCAAAGAAATTCTTATCCTTTCATTGTAACATTACATCACTAAAATTACTTTTTCTAAAAAGGATAATTAACCTTCCAACGCTACAAATCCTCCATCGGATGGTAAAAACAAGGACCATCTACGATCGTCATCAAGCAGCAATTCAAGTGTATCCATATCCTAAAACACAAGACACTTTGCAGAACGATTAAGAACAAAGCATTGTCTCCTAATTTCGGCCATTTTTTGTTACCACAAACTCCTCACATGCCCTACTTCTTAGCCAGAAACACGCTAAAAACTGAAAACCCTCTAAAACCACTAACACGGTGAATATCAAACAAGTAACCAACCAAAAGCCAGAGCAGCAAACGACCAAAAGCAAGAAAAGATCCAATCAAGAAGGGAAACAAGAAGGAATGAGAAGAGAGTACCACGGCATGGGCGAGGATGAAGACGAGGTAGTTATTGAAATCGGCAAGTCGGTTGTACTGCTGGAGCTGCTGCCAAATCCGGGCCTGATCACCGTTGGGGGAGATTTGCTGTTCCAGGAGGCCGCAGATCTCGCGGAGCCCCTCCTCCCGCGGTTGCCACAGCGCCGCCGCCGCCATCTCTCCGCCGCCTCCGACCGATCCGAACCGAAACGAAGATAAAAGAGGCGAACCAATTCGAATCGATCGATCGATTTCTCGAGGCACCGTAATTGTTCTTGGGGAAGAGATCAAGTTCTTGAGGCACTCGAAGCAAAGCAGAGGAAAAAGCAGAAGGGGGGAAACGCTCGGTAGGTTGATAGGAATCAAAAGGCTGCGCCGTCGACGTAACGAAAAAAGAGCCGGGGGGGGGGAGGAGGTTTCGCTTCGAGGGGAGGATCCACGAGGGTAAAAAGGAAACGAAGGCAACTTTTGGTGGCAATTTATCAAAATTATTTAATAACATCAAATTTTTATAAATAATAATAATATTATTATTATTATTATTTATTCATAACCAAATAAATACAAATATATCTAAATAAATTTATAAATTAATATTTTTCTATATTAGGGTTTTTAACTTTTATGAGATAATTTTTTATTATTTTTTAAAATATATTTTAAAAATTAAATAAAAAATTAGTTTGTTGGAATGTTTGAGTTATAACTATTGGATTCAATTCTTTAAAATATATATTTTTTATATTAATAAAACATTTATTATTTATATGGATAGATACCTATATCCATGGATATAATTGATACCTAATCAACTCTTCGTTAAATATCGAAAATTACCAATTAGCTCTATAAAAGATTTTAGGTTACACTTCCTCATCTAAAACTCTCAAAACTCATCATTTTTCTAAATCTTAAGTCATCTTTCTTTCGAAATTACTAATTTATGACTAGATCTAAGTTTTTTTCTTATAAAAATCTTTATCGAAAGGAGGGATCACCGATCAAAAAAAAAATTATTAGCTTAATTTTAGCATGTTAGTAATGCTGATGATTTTTTATCATGTTTTTAGAGTAAATCATGAGTTTAAATAAATCATGTGTCAAGCCCTAGTAATTCTTCATCCAATTGGAGGGTAATGTTAGAATTTAGATATAGGTTTGGACTTTCATGTAAATTTAGGCTTTTCATAAAAAGCGATAACTATCTCATCATTGCATCGACATGATTAAGGGTGGCCACTGTGTAAGTTAAAATGACTATTTTACCCCCGTTTGCAATGGTGGATTTCACCAAGGACCAATCACAACATAATTTGCATTATATATTTGAGCCATACACAACTCAATTGATAGATCTCGTCCAACTCACTCCATCCAAAGTATACTTGTACTTGGTATGAAGAATAGAATCTCCATTATAAGTTCAATTTAGAGTGTGTTTCGAAAGCATAGTTAAGGACACGAAGTGGAATTATTCCTCCAACATTGCCTCACTTCATATTTCTTTGAAAATTTGATGATCCATGAAGTTGTCTCATTTGAGGGAGACGACACATTTGATAAACTTGGGAGCACATATTATCAATATTTTATTTCATGAGTTGATCCTATTTAATTCCCTTGTGGAAGCCTAATAATTATTTGTCCCATCAATATTCAAAGCTTCTTCCCTCTCTCTCTCTCTCTCTCTCTCTCTCTATATATATAAATGAATAGATCTTATATTATATACTGTTTTAAATTAGATTTAACATACTATCTGTGTTTGATACTTCGGGCTATAATTTAATTTCATGTGAAGGAAGTACTAAGAACATAAAAAAGCAGCAGCAACATCAGTCCTACACAATCATCAAGCTGGCAGTTGCATGGAGAAGAACAAGTTATGCCTATTTATATACAAAATTATACCATTTTTATTGCATCTCCATGACTCTCTGTGCAATGCGACTTTTATCCACCAGGAAAACGAAAAGAAGTGGAGAGAGAAGTAAATCAGAATTGATTAAGATTCAGAACCTATGATGAAATGACCCCATGACAGCATGAAGCAGCAGGAGATATCATAGTCCCCAACATCTTATCATGAAAAAGTTGACAAAACCCACTGATCTCAAGCAACCTGAATCGGCAAAGGCCAATCTCCACAAGATTACCATCATTTAGCCTGTTAAAAGGACAATTCCCCAAGTACACATAATCGAGACACTTGGCACACAGATTTCACGAGAAGATCCTTGGTTGAGAAGGTATCCTGTTATACACATTCCACAAGAACAATTTTAGTTCAACTATTCTGTGTATTTCACAATATTACTCAACATTAAGGCTGTTACAGAATCAATCACCTCTAGCTTTGATTTCTTACCTTCTTTACCTCGGTTTCCTAGGAGGAAAAGGCAGATTTATTTATGGAAGCATGTCACATTCTTTACATAAAGAGTGCTCCCTGACCTCCTCCTTGAAAGAATGAAGACCTTTATGCAGTAAGAACAAAAAGATCAGATAAAGCATCTCTGCTTTTACAGAGCCCCAGAAAAAGGAACAAGAAGAGCACGAGCAATTAAAGAAGGATCCTAAACTGCCTTTGTTGAAGCTTTTAGTCGACTGGGAGCTTAGCTTGCACTTGTGTGGCTCAGTTTGTTGTAGACTGAGGTTGTGACTTGCAATCTGACAGCCATGTCAAGCGACAGTGAACAGCTTGTATTCTGGATGAAAATATGATCTATGAGATACAGAAAGAAAAAAGTGTGAGAAAGTAAACAATCCAACCTGACAGCATCCAAATTTATGCCAGAATGCAGTGATTTTTGTGACAATTTATGATTCAGTGAATGAACAGCCACTAATCGAGCAACAAATTTTTTGGCTTGTAGATGGATTTCTCTGGTGTCGAGCGACAAAACCATTAGAGTAGAACTGTAAAATAGTGGCTAACAGAAAAGATTTAGCTTCGCCAACGGTAGATAAAACTACATAGGGTTCACGACATATTTATGTCACATGGGTCAGGATAATGAGCAAAAAAATCATTTTTTTATATACCTACAAAGCCTTTCCACAAGCGTATCATGGGTAATAAACTACATGGCACACTACATCCAACATTCAATTGACACCCTTGGGCTGTAAGTCTGAAAGATACACTGTAGCCACAGATCTTAGAGGAGGCTAACTCATCCACAGATTACAGAACCCCTGTCTCAAGTAAGTGCATGTTTTGTCCTCAAACAATCAATGACCAACACTTCTACACATCAAAGCAAATCAGCATCTTGTGATCCCATCACACAATGATGACAGCAGCCAAACACAAAATTAGATCGAAACCATAAAACCTGAATAATCATGTTGAGCACATGAACCACCACATCATTGTAGAACAGTGAATCAAATTGTTACTGCAACTCATGCTGCCATCTAGGATCTGACAACCCATACAACAAAGAATTGATAACGTGCAGCAAAACTGCAGCTGTACATAGTTCAAGACCTCATTGCAGAAAATTGATATAAATCAACATCCTGGCGGAGATTGAGCCGAGGCCAACTCAGATAGGCTTGCACCTGATTCAGTGCAATGTCTCAAGTATGACTGTCGACTCGAAGATGCAGCAAGGTTGCTCGGGGACACATAACTTGAACCAAGAATATAAGAGGATGCAAGTCCTGAATTGATAGACGATGACCCAGGAAATTCCAAGGAATGAGATGATAGAAGATAAGTTTGAGGTCTATGAGATGATGCATTTCTAGGGTCCAAAGAACTTCTACCAATTCTAAATGCTGGTGAGTGACCATAAGAGCTTTGTGGGTTAGCGATACATGCACTAGAGAACGAACTTGATTGTGAATGGGGAGTCATTGTAGCTATTTGAGTAGCTGGGGAACGAGCACTAGAGAATGAATATGGTTGGCAATTTGACTGTGACCGCCGAGGAGATATTTGGATGGCTGGGGACGATGCCATGGATGAGCAAAATGATGATAGTCCTGCATTGGAAGATGGAGTTGCTGCACCAGAATACAGTAAAGGAGTGTACTCAGAAGCTGGAATATTAGGTATTCCTGCCCTAGCATCTTGCTTGCAAACAGGGCAAAAAGACCTCCAAGTAGTGAGCCAGAAATCGACACAAAATGCATGGAACTCTGTCAATGATTTAACAAGGAATATTAGATCGATTAGTAAATTAAATATACATATTATATTGCACCAGAAAAAGAAATGGTTAAACATATTATAGAAACAGTAATGAATTATCTGCTGGTTAGGTGATGGTTTTAGATTAAGTCATTGATGATCTAGTGACTCCAACCATAGGACAGTTAAATCTTAATAAAAAAAATGAAAACAACATTAAAATTATAGGCCAAAGGTTCCTACAAACAACATAATGATATTCTTGATGATTTATGTCCACTTTAGCCCATTGGTCACCCCATTAAAGGGGCTTTTCAGTTGGGAATGGAAAAATCTATGCTTATAAACCACCAATGTGGATCTTTTGACTCATTTTATTACCACATTAGTTCTCACCAAAATGATGTATCAATAAACAACTGAAATTTTTTTCAAGAATAATTAAGTACAATTGTCTGACATTAGATAGTATGAACCACAACAAGAAGTTTAAACATGGTTATCTGAGTGATGAAGAAAAATATCAACTATTTTTAAAATTTTGTTTGAAAAGGGAAGCAGACATTAGAAAGTTGAATTTTGAATGAAAGATCAGATTCCCAACTGGTTCCTGAGGGTAGATGGTATATGAAGCTCACTATACTTCCACTGAAATTGATGACCAAAATTCACAATTATATTCTGGAAATTTCTGATCTCAAAACTGATCAACATATTAATATTGTGGATTGCATAAGGATGATATGAAAATTGTGTAGTCTTGATATGCCAAGATTAACAATATTGCAAGTAAAAGGGCAAGAAAGAATTAACACACAAATATGCACACAAGAAGTCCAGATAACCAAGTCAAACACAGAAGAAAATAACTTCATTAAATGGGGTAGATTTATAAAACAAAAGGCCTTTTGCTTCACATAATTAAAAAGGGAAAAAAAAATTTAATGGTGATCAAGTTGTAACCAAGATACTCACTATGATGACATGGCAATAGCCTAAGCTTCTCCCCAACATTGTAGTCTTCTAGGCAAATAGCACAAGTTGTTGAAGTGCAATTATCATCCACAACTGAGGTGAATATGAGACTTGGCATGGCTTTAACCAGTTGACTGCTCATTCTACGGAACTCTCGAACGTTAGAAACTCTAGGCCGTTCATGCCTGATATGGTGTCTGCGGATGAAGAAACACATAGCAAGCACAGCAGACACGACAAGTAGTGATATGAAGGAGATGGCCATAATTGACCATATTGAATTCTTGAAGGTGGGTGTAATCCACAACTCCAA